TGTTTACCCAAGTGCTGTGTGGAATGCAAATTAAATAGTGATCAGAATGGAATGGGGTGTAATTTGGATAGACTTTTATTTTGCCAAGAATTCTTACTCAAAGTTCTTTGTGTTAAGGTTGAAGTCATTCTTGCAGTTTAGACGATAAAATTTTATTATCCATTGAAATTACTTTAGTCCAATTCAATTTCCCTCAGCAGCCTGGATACCTTCCTAAAAGATGACCGACGGCATGGGGAGTTTAGATTATGGCGTAGTGCTATAGCATACAGCGCTGCCCAAATACTCATGGCAGTTAGAAAAGTGTTTTGCTGACACGTGACAGAATTGGAACTTGAACCCTAATTTCTCATCTCAGATGATGTAACATTTGGCTGTTACTCTTAACAGACTGTAATCACCGTAACCGGAAGCATAGAATCTGGATGCACCACTGTATATATAGAATTAAAGTCAGAAAGTGATTTCAGACTCTAGGCTTATATTTTTCTCGGCTAAAATCAGGTCTCAAAGTTTATTGGTGTTTCTTGTACAGAGGACTAAGGAACAAATCAGGGTAGGAGTATGGAAGATGTGGGAGCCACAGAGAGGCAGAATGCCCCTTAGACAGCGAGAGGGTAAAGGTGAGGGGCATGCTGTAATAATGTCGGGGGGCCAGTCTTCCTCTGCAAATTGTGGGTCTGGTTCCTCTGTGTGATGTATAAGGGATGGGTTTGGTTGGTTTGTTCCTTCCTCACGCGCTATTCCGCTCGGCCACTGCAGTTCTGGGTGCGGAATGGATATCGTGGTGGCAGCTGCCAGGTCAGCAGAGTGCTGCCTCCAGTACTTCCTCCTCCACTTACCAGCGTGCCTGACCTCGGGCAGGCTTTTTACTCTCCTGAACCTCAGGTTCCTCATTTGTGAAGCCGCAATCAATATACCTATACGTCTGTGTTATTTTCTGATGGAGAGAAAAAATATTAAAGTATTCCAGGAGCATGTCTGGCACATAGTAGACAAACTGTAAATAGTAGTTATTAGTAATAATAATAATTTGTATTATTGTATTTGTACCATACAGTTACATAAGATAATTTATTTTATTATCATGTTATTATTATTGGAAAAAGAATTTTCTTTGAGGCTTTTCCTTAAAGTAGCAAAGGCAGATACTAATGGGCTTTTCTTTCCAAAAAAATGGGAAATGAAATTGTGGCCAGTACAGTAAGCCAGGCAAGCCTATAGATTATGTTACTACGCAGTCCGAAGTACTGGTTTTTCTGGAGACCTTCCTACTAGAGACCTTAAAAGAGAAGTTTATAATAACTTAAGCTAGATAAGATTTTCTGAACTAAAAAGTTAAGGAACTTTCAGTTAAGTATTAATTTGAGGGAGAAATATTTCAGTGAATGTAGAAGTTATTTAGTAACTGGCACTCTGTCATTTCTGTCTTATTTCTAGAGCACAGCAGAGGCAAAGTTTATTCATTCTCTGAGGAGGTGGTTCCTATGTCTCTTTTTAAGTAACGAAAGACACTGTGGTGGTTAAACTCGAGACCCTTATTTCGTCAGCGTGTGTCTTGTGAGAGGCGGTCCAGGCAAACACTGGGACAAGTGTGAGGTGGTGTTAGGGCTGTGTGAGCCTCTGGGGTCTTCTGATGCTGGTGGGATATTGTGAAGTCCAGTTACAGTCATCCATGAGGGGGGCAGTGTTGCTGTAAAAGGTGCACTCGAAGTCCCTGCTCTGACCAGAGATGAGAATGTCATCTGTCCTTCAGTGAGGATGCATGGTCAGCTCTCACTACAGTTCTGAAAGAGGTTAAGTTGGCTTTATTGCCTGTTGACCTGTAACTTTATAAGAATACCAGAATCGGAATCTCAGAGCTGGAATGGGCCCCAGAGATCACCATGAGGCAGCGCCCTCACTTGCAGGTGAGGAAACTGGGACTCGGGGTCATGGGGAGGTGGCACGGGCCCAGGACCCAGGCTGGACCTGACGTGGCTCCTCCTGCGTGTCTGAGTCGTCCTCCTCTTCATTTTATGCGCTTGTTTCCCATGATGCCTTTGAAAATGTGCCTTCCCTGTTTTTTAAAATTCTTGTTAATTGTGATTTCAGTCAATTTTACCTATTGGAAGGGGTCTGATAGAACTTTTTCCTCTGAAAGCAATGGTACTAAGTAACAGTTTGGGTCCTTCTTTTCAGCTGCTCTCCTGTTTACTTTTAACAAGCCATGAGTGTCTGGAGCCCCTGTGCAGGATTTCAAGGGTACACGGTATGTGGGAGTGGAGTGCTGATCCTTTCTGCAGGGAGAGGGTGTTTCTCTAGGACTGCTCTTTTGAGGGGTATTATTTCAAAGTGCAAATAGTTTTGTGTGTGTGTTTTTTTTTAATGACAACATGTAGAAAATCTAAGTATTACAGAGATATAAAACAAGAGGCGACCATTTGTTAACATTTTTGGTAAATGACCTTCTGTTTTTGTTGTATGTCAGCATAAAGACACACATTTTATATAAAGGGATCATAGTACACCTGTTTTCTTTCATTCACAGTGTCCAGTAGAGATTTTTCAAGTAAATAAATGCGTACAGGCACTGTCCTTTTAAATGCTTGCACATGCATGTAGCAGTATGTCTAAGCATTCTTCTCTTGAGGAATGTTTAGGTTGTTTTAGATTTTGCTAAAAAACTTTTATGGAACACCCTTATACATTTTTTCCTCACATGATCAACTGACCTCTGTAGTATGTATTTCTGCAAGTGGAATTATTGGATCTAAGGGCATATCTATCGAAAGGTTGTGCCACATACATGGCCACCAGTAGGGTTTGAAAGTATCTGTTGGGAAATCCCATCAGCTCAGAGAGTAAGCTCCTTCCTATACATACCTCTGTGTTGATTGCAGTGCTCAGGAAGGCAGTCTGACCCATACCATTTAACAAACATCTGTTGGATTCAACTATTTGTAATGCTTTCCCAGGACATGAATAATTTACTATTTCTTCCTACTAAAAGGAAGTTGGAACACCATGCATTTCATGAATAAAAGATACTCAGTGACTCAAACAGCTCTCTTCCAAAAGCAGGAAGCAGAGACTTTAACCTGGGCGTGGACTCCTGTGCAGATGCTGCCTGGTGCTGAGATCAGTGTGTCAGGTTCCATGTTAAGAACTGCCTCTTTAGGAGGACATTGTCCAGCATGACACCACAGAACTACGACTGTCTGGAAACTAGCCTCTTGATAGGAGTGCAAGGGAGTCGGAATCATTTAGTCTAGGGAACAAGGCCTGGGGTGGAAGGGAGGTAACTGACTTCTTTTTTTTTTTTTTTTTCTAAAAAGATGACCGGTAAGGGGATCTTAACCCTTGACTTGGTGTTGTCAGTACCACGCTCAGCCAGTGAGCGAACCGGCCATCCCTATATGGGATCCGAACCCGGGGCCTTGGTGTTATCAGCACCGCACTCTCCCGAGTGAGTCACGGGCCGGCCCAGGGAGGTAACTGACTTCAAGTTCATGAAGAAATATTGTGCAGATGATCTGGAGTGAATTCTTTTCTGCATCTGGCGAGAAGAAGGCGTGGGTTGAATGTGCAGTGTGGTGATTAGTCATTCACAACGGACTTCTTGGGTTCAGAGTTGAGTTACATGGAAAGTGGCAGAGCTTCACATTCTAGAGGGTTTACATAAAAAATAACCCATGATTTCATCGGAACATTGTTCTGCTTGGATCCTTAACTTGGTAGATCTTCAGCTTTGGTCCTCTGCTCTGTTCCATTCTCTGTAACATACCTCTCTCCAATTTGCAGAATTTAGTGTGAAGTAGTTGCACACTATTAACAGAAGAAGGGAAAGAGAGAATATAAACATAAGTTTGAAAACCCTTGCTCTGTCCTTTACTAGTGCCTGATTTTGAGCAGGCTGTTTTACATTCTTAGCCTCAGTTTCTGTATCTGTAAAGTATAAGATAATATGTACCTTGAAGGATTCCCGTATGGATTGGTTGATGTAACCTGTAACTGGTGCAGATTTTGTATAGTGCCAGGCAGGTAGCAGGTGTTCAATAAATGTTGGCCTTCCTTCCCTTGGACCTTTTCTATTGGTGGAAGGACCATTGAGATATAGGACCAGCAAATCCTCATAGATGCTCATAGGAGAAGAGATTGGTGTGGATTACAGTCATCAGGAAAGTGTTGAAGGCTAGGTCGAATTTAGATAGTACTGAGGGGTGAAGTGAGCTCCCAGCCCTTCTATATTCTAAAGTTATGGCTTCAAAACCAGAGAGTGCCTCAGTCTTAAAGTTTATCAAGAATTTGTGATATGATTGGTTTTTATAGCGAGTAGACTCCTTCTCCAGAGAATAATTTCCATCTCTTTTATTGAGTGGCTCATAGGTGATTAGCTTTTTTTTAATGTTTTCCTGGTGCCTATTAGGACTATGATAAGAATGTGAGCAAAGTTCATTCATTAATTCAGCTCCTACGGATCTAGTGCTCACCCTGTGATAAGTACTGGGCAGATTTGAACAGTTCCAGGAGCTCACCATCCAAGTGAGGTGGGCTGTGGGAAGACCCAGCTTCTGAGATCTGGGAGGGTCAGTGGTGTGTGTAGTGTCGTGGGGATAAAGAGGGGGACAGACCCCTCTCTCAGCCCTGGGGAAGAGGGCCTGTGCAGGTGAGTGGAAGGTAGCCTGGTGTTATCTGGGGGCAGGGGTCTTCCGTGCCTCTGATGCAGTATGTCAGATGACACTCAAGTGTGGCAGTGCTTACGTTTGTTGACTGTGAGCTGAGCGGCCCCGGGTGGGCGTGTCGCCAGGGCTGGGCTGAGGGCGGGACTGAGCGGGAAAGCAGCAGGGATCCATCAGGAACCTACCTTTGGAGCCTCTCTGGAGCATGAGGTTCTTCCTTGCCTCAGACTTTACAAAGGAAAGAGGGAATGCTGGCCAACACCTGTTAGTTGGAAATACAGAACTTCATTCTAATGGTCATGCTGATTTCTGCATTGTTGTTTGGTTTTCTTTCCTCAGCCTCCAGACAGTGGGCCTCCACCATTACCGACATCCTCCCTCCCAGAAGGTTATTATGAGGAAGCTGTGCCACTGAGTCCTGGAAAAGCTCCGGAATACATCACATCAAGTGAGTGGCAGCCTCTGCCCGGCCAGAGCTGGTCTCTTGGTTTGCAGGGCTGTTGGAGAGCCTAGCCCCTTTTCTGGGTATGAGAGGCAACAGGGGCGTGATAAACCATTGTGGAAATGTGGGGTAGATTTCGAATCCAAAGGGGTAGTAAACACAGAAAGGGCTTTGAAAATTCTCAGGTTCCTCAGATGCCTTTATTCTGATTATCTTTCTTAGGACTCAAAATTGGTAAAATTTTATTGCTGTGGATACAAGTGCCAGCAGATCAGATGTGTTCCCCATGGTCAGGAGACATGGCTTTTTGTGATGTGTTCCCATGGGTTCATGCCGTGCGCCCTTCCCCTGTTAGCCTGTGGCCAGAGCATGTCCTCTCGGGCTGCCCTCATCCTGCCTTGATGGAGCAATTTCTACCAGGCTGGCTGCTGGGTTGAACAGAATTGGGTACAAAACAAATAGGCCTCTCAGTCATAGACTTTGTTTCTCTAAAAAAAAATTTTTTGGCACAGGCTTTACCAGAAAATTATAGATCTCATGGCTCTAGTTAGTTCCCTGCTGATGACCCCCTGAAGTGCCTCTCTGTTAGCACCCAGCTTTCAGACTCAGATAAGGGATGACACGCTGACATCGAAAACTTTTCTGTAACTGTCTCTGGAATCTTTTATTATCTTTTGAATTATTGGCTTTGTTTCTGTTCTCAATATTATCTCAGGCAGTGTGCTATTGACTCATGAAGAAAATGAGTTGAATATCTGGGTATGTGTCAACTTAGGGAATCCAGCTTGCTTTCTAAAAAAAGAAAAGAGATAGTGGAAGGTGAAATAGCGATTGCTAATTTTAATTGAGAGGCTTCTAGTAGAGTAATATTTTCATGCTGTGGTCTCGCCTCCTCTGTCTTCTTCTGGAAATGCTCTCCTTCATCCTGAAGTTGTTTTAGTATTACCTGAAATCTCTGCCACATGGAGACTTTGTGATTTTGGATCTTTCTCTTCCCTGGCAATAAACTAGCATAGCTATTTCAGCAGAGCAGAATCCAACTTGATTGTTAGTTGATTATTATAGGAGATTCTTCAGTTGGCATGTTGTCCTGCATGTGAAGAGGGAATGTGTAGAAACCAGGTGACAGAGGCTGTGTGCCCTTGAGGACAGGGCCTTTTCTAGCTCACTCATGCCCATTTCCTCAGCTTCTGGAATAGTCCCAGCATAGACTAAGTCCAATATCAATAAATATTTGTTGCTTTCTGAATGAGAAAAGGAATAGTCCTGATAAGGAGGTTATGAAATTTTAGGTTCGAGATCTGTAAGTTAAATGTCTTAATTTCTCTTTCATTTAAGAATTGTTTGGGAGAAAGGCAATTAAATAATTTCTAAATGTCAGCTGTTTAAGAAGGTAGTAGATTAATTAGAAAACAAAAATTAAGTGGCTTGGTATAATTCTAAACTTCATTGGATTCCTTTATTTTTAATGGCAATGAGTAAAGAAAGTGTTTTTTTTAATGAGGGTGTTTCCTAGCATTTGGGACATTCGGCTCTAGCCTTCTTTCCCTTCTTCTCCCCTTCCTCCCCCCGCCATACTTTCGAGGCTAGAAACTGGGAGTGGTTTTGTCTGAGTTTGGGCAGCCTTTGGTGGTTTTCACTTGGAGAAGCTCTGTGTAGCTGAGGTGTCATGTCCTGCTCTGCAGTGAAGCCATTTCTCAGCTGCCATGGGTGAGCAACTCTTGTTTCGCTGATTCCAGAAGAAAGAGGATGGAGGACTCATGCATGGGGGAGCATCGAGTCAGCAGCGATAGCACACTCTGGCTCCTGGCTTCTTTAATCAAATGTGTGTGGTTGGAATCCCAGTTGATGGCCCGAGGACACAGCTGCCTGTCCCTTGGAGAACAGCGGGGATGAGTTGCCTTTCAGGGTCCACTGCCTTCAGTTAGATGTGGACTTCAGACAGTTTAGTTGAGCAAAGTACCAGTTACGGTTTGTCAGAGAAGTGGAACCATTATGAATGTCGTGGAGTAAAGGATTCATTGTAGGAAGGAGACCTTATGCAATTGTGGGGACTAGTGAAGAGGCCTGTGGAAAGCTGCTGCCCCTGTGTCTGGCAGGGCTGGCAGTCTGGAAGAAAAGCTGGATTAGGATTCAGGAAGAGGAAGGACAGAGTGGAACCTATGAGGACAAACTGGAACCCACTTCTCTCTCCCACCTCATCCGGTCCTGATGACACAAGTGACCCGCAGCAGAACCTGGAATCTGTCCCCAGAGAGCTGCACGCATGCCTAGCCCAGGACTCAGAAGACGAGGGGGAGACCTGGCAGGAGCTGAAGGGTCTGTAGGGCCAGCAGGCGGGCCAGTAGGTGAGTGGTGGCACAGCTGGCACCATGCGCTGCTCCCTGTTTTTCTCCAAAATAATTCCCCAATTTTTCTTGTGGCCACCCTAACCCAGAATCCTTCAAGAAAGGGAATTTTGTGAAACGTAATTCCAGACTTGCTAGGTTGATACAGTATACAACCACCACAGTTTATTTTGGGTCAGTTTAGTATCCGTGCACACCCTTTTTTTAACCAAGCTGAATTTCCAAATAACGACAATAACACAATTATGCTCGAGCCTAATGGGATTTGACTATTGCCCATGCATCGGAAAACTCCCTACTCCCTGGAGAGAAAGTCCTTTATCCTCTCCGAGAAGAGAGACATTCATTCTCTTCTGGCTGAATCATATGCTCCCCTCGGAGAGCCTGTAAGTTAAATTCTGATGTGCAGGGTTAACCACGGCTAGCACTTCTTATGGTAGATGGGGACTAGGAGAGGAGAAGAGAAAAAAAGCATTGATGAACCAATGCATGTACAAGGATTTCCATGTCAAAGCAGGAAGAAAAGCTCCTACTAGTTCAGTCCTCACTTCTGTACCTGGTCAATGGTCATCTCTAGTGTGTGTGACTTCCTTCTGCCCCTCCCACACTCCCTTCACCCTCTGCCAGCACTGTGGTTGATTGTGGCTTCTTGTCTACGGGGGTGACCCAGCTTCCTGTTCCGAACAGTCTGGGCTGTCAGTAGGACTTCCTGTCCTGGATGGTTGTAATTATCCGTTAACTTTAATCACAGGGCATGGGGGGCCAAAAAGGCAGCCCAGGGTCTCTCCTTGTTCCCAGGCACTTTTTCCTTACACCCACTGTGTGGTAACAACTTCTTGAATGTCAGGGTCAGTCCCTACAGCCCTGCAGGGGCTGCTTTCTTTGTCTGTTGGTTTACTGGCGTGAGGAGCGTGGCATGGCCAGGTAGCGGTCTCCACTTCCAGTTTAATGGGACCATTGACATATCCTGCCCTTAGACCAGTGGAGTCCAAAATTTTAGGGAAGGAAAGCAAAAATTTTGTTGGCAGATCAACAGGGATAATACTGAGGAGGAGCCCGTACCATTTCCAACCTTTGATTCTTGGACTTGTGAATCCTGGCTGTGGGAGACACGGTACCACTGAGTCAGAGCATGTGCTGTTGGGAGCCGTTCTGGGAGATATTACTCCCAGCCCTACAAGGTGTTATCAATTGGCTGCCACTGTTAACTGAATATTAAAAAACATTCCACCCATCTGTTGTGTCAGCTACTTCATGGTGACAGGGAATATGGCAAGACCAGTGAATTTCCTGAGCATTAACCCACCGTTGTACTTTATTTGCTGTAAATGGGCTCCTTGTTCAGAAGCAGTGCTGTGTGGGATCCCATGGTGGTAAACAGTGCTTTTGGCAGGAACATTGTGGACCCAGAAGGCAAATTTACTTACTGTCTCTTCTTGATGGAAGTGGACTGATGATAATAACCTGCTACTAGGTGGCCAGCTGATATCCCAAGGAATGGAGTCATGTGGAGGGGGCAGGTGTTGGCATGGGTGGAAGTTCACGTCACTGAGCTCCACACATAACCTCCCTCCCTGCCACCATGGGACCATGAGTCCATTTACACAAGAAGTCTTGGGAAGGTGGCTGACATATACATGTGTGTAATAGGTTGTGTTGTTTACCTGATTATTAAGGTCCACTTCCACCAAGGCTGCTCTATCACCTGGTATACAGGTATTCTCACTGTGTGCCCTCCGTGGAGGTCTGTTCACAGCGTCTTCTGTAGACCATTGTCTGTCCAGTTTTCTAATCATGCTCCTCTCAAGTCTTGACCATCCAGTGCTGGTGACTCGGCGGGGAGAGAAGGAGGCTGTGCAGCAGGAGCAGGGGTTGGGGCATCCGGGCTGCTTGCCATGCAGCATGCCACATCTTCCTTCCCTGACAGAGCCTGCTCTTACACAGACCACTTTGATCCCATGGTGGCATGCTCCCGGATGGCTCAGGTAGCCCATGGTCCATGCTGGCAGCTCCTGCTGTGTCTTCTTCACTTGGTGCCCATGGTGTCCTGTGGTGAAGCATTCAGTCTCTGCCAGGGCGTCAGCAGCCAAAGCAGTTTCTCAAAAGTAAAATAGTTATCTTCAAAGGGCAGTATAGCTCTGCTCCAAAGTCCCCAAGGTCTGCACTGAGCTGTACCAGGATGAGCCTGCCAAAGGTGACCATTGCCAATTTCTAGAACAGCTGGGGCTTGATTAGAGAAGCAGACCCACTAGATATGGAATAGAAGACTTACTCTAGGGTAGACCTCACACAGTGATTCCCGCCACTGAAGTCAGTGGGTGGCGGCTGGTAGGACACGGGAATCTGGAAGAAGGAAGCTGGATCTGCAGTGGGGGAGCTCAAGGACAAATTGAAATCTGCAAGGGCAAGCTACAACCCATCTGTCTCTGACTTTCTACAGACTTGATGACCAAGGAGACTTGCAGAAGATGCTGGTGCCCTTGGCTGTGGAGTTGTGTGTGTACCTGTCCCAGGACTCCAAGATCCAAAGGAGATCCTGCCATAGCTGGGGGAGCTCCGTGTCCAGTTGCTGCTCCATGCAGCAAAGTGAGCCAGCTGGTCAGCAGCAATGTGCACAAGATTCAGGGGTGCCTGGTGCCCTGCACTGACCTTGATCCC